TTTCATCCATATAAATAATAGGTCCACATTCTGCCCCATAGGTCCGCATTTTCTTCAACCATCATAGTCGAGTAGACTGGCGTTCCATCAATATTCACCTTGTTCTTAAGTTTACTGTTCAGGAGCATTTTCAAAGACAACAAATAACTCACAGTTCACCACGCTGAATAATTTCTCTGTACTAACACGATTATCGCTACACGACTTTCTCGATGTTAACGATGTCCGCCGGCAGATCTACTGCGCGTCCAATATTCAGATGAACAGCTAGATTTGCCAAACTGTACATGGGATGTATATTCTCCGCTTTTTGTGCTTTGTTCATGAGTTGGAGCTGTTACTTGTTAACATATCTTTCTCTTAGAGGGAAGTTTTCATACATACAGTCGAGCTATGAAGTATTTGCATGTGGTAGATTGGGGTGGACATTTCTGTTCATCCCCAGCAACCGCCATAAATTGAGGTGAGCATTTCTGTCCAGCCTCGGGATTGGTTTTTGTTTTTTCTGTGTCTGTTCCCCAAGGGGATCGTTCATAACCGCATATCGCCTTGCGGCCATTCAGCTGCCGGCACGAATCCTTACACTTTAGCTTGGGTAGGCTGGTCCACGGTGGCATGTTCCGCAAAGGCTTTTGGGGAGTTTTGGTTCCCCTCAGCCAACTTATTTCTGCCACTGACCAGGAGTCCGGCGACCCCGTCTGTAAGGTCACATTGGCTTCCCGGACAGAGCTCCCAGTCCCCTGGCCGTTCCCATATCCGCCATTTTGGGACGCGCCCGATAAGTAGCCCAACCCACGGCTCCTCGATGTCTTATACACTCGTGGATACGTCTGGGCATTGTCCTGATGTGGTGGTCTATATCCTGTATCTCATTCCATCTACTTCAAACTCATGTCTGAGTGCTGTCAAAGTATGTGGGGGCTGTTGTATATTCAGCAGTCTGCAACCAAGAATATCCCACACATGTTCGATCGGTGAAAGATCGGGCGATCTGGGTGGCCATGATAAGCGGTAAATGTCATGCTGATCCATGAAGTCTAGAGTTACTCTAGCCACATGCGGTTTAGGGCTGTCTTGTTGAAATATGGGGTTCTCGATGTCCTCAAGATATGGAAGGATATGAGGCTCCATTACTTCGTGAATGTAATGAAGAGTCGTCATGTTGTCTCTAATAAAGACTAAAGGTGTCCTGCTACCATTAAACCAACAGTATGGTGTGGTGAACATGCCTATCCAAATCAAACTGGGGATCTCGTCTTTCACCACGACGCTTTCTTACTCTCGCTCGTCCATCGTGCATACAAAAACGAGATTCATCGCTGAAGACTGCGGTTCCACTGTTGATCCCTATTTATTCTGTCTCTGCACCAGTGCAATCGGTTGCGTCGTTGGCAACACCCAATGGGAATGATAGGAAACTTATTATTCGCCAATATAGTGTGCGCAATATAGTGTGCGTGTTCTTCAAACCACTAATTCTCAATTGCCCTAGTAGAAATGAACCGATCCCCAAGAGCCAAAAGTCTTAATCGGCGATCCGCACGCGCTGTTTTTCCCCTGCGACGACCGGTGCCCCTAGCTCTGTGTTCACGGCCTATTTGTGTCTATGCCTGATAACATCTTGGAATAGTACGCAAAGATCGATTGGTTTTTCTTGAATTTTCTCTAACTTGAAAACCTGCCTCACGTAAGCCAATAATTCGTCCTCTCAAAATCACTAAGTTGGGGTATACGACTGAGTTTTCGCACTAGAGGCATAGTGGTAACAATACGAAACACTTTACAACAAACTCTTTGACAGTTGAAGCATAAATAAGAATTAAAATTGGAGAAATGGTAATTGCTTACACAAAAAAAACCAGTTAAAAAACTGGCCAGAATAGCTTCCGATACGGCGGAAATTGTACTGGCTTTTTACTGCCCTCAACATAAATACACATGAAAAACATTATTGGAATAGTTTCAATATAAATAGGTGTTTACCTTTCTTTGTCACTTAGTATATAATGTCATAATGTGGAGGAGCAACTTCATTATACTATTGATTTGGACCAACATTTCCCACATAGGATTGGAAGAAAAGGTATAATCNAAAGCTGTTATTATTGATAGAAGTGATGCAGAATTTTGTGACAATTGGATGGTGATATTCAACAAATGAGATATGCTGACAAAAATAGGATAATCCCTCGGTGAGGATCATACCAAACTATATTCGCCCCTCAATTAAACCTCCTAATTAGAGCTCAATTTCCCATACACCATACTTGTACTCGATGCACGTTTCAGTAACCAAATTAGCATCTTATTAATTGATGTTCAATATCAATTTCACTTCTAAAGATGCTAACTTGGATAGTGAAAACGTGCAACAAGTACAAACATGTTTGGAGTTTAAAAAATTGGGCTCAATTCGAATATTTCTTCTTTAACACCAAAGGTTCCAGTCACATCTACCGCTCTTAATATATGAACAGAGGAAAATTTTTGCGTGGATTGCAACAAACCAAACGAAATAATGTTTTCCGTGAAGTGATCCTCACATTTTGTGCCAGTCAAATCTAATTCTGAAAACCCTTAGCTATCACTTCTTATATTATTTGAAATAATTACAAATAGTATCGTATCAATATATTATTCGTTATGGTGAATAAAATAGCAACAATCAAATGACGATCCTCATTTTATTATATGAAGTCATTTGAAAACAAGTTCAATTTCATGAATTATGACAAGATGAAATTTCCAGAACGCCTCTGTTATGGGCACCATGTCGCAAGTCTGGCCCTGAGTAATCCACTTTTCAAGATGGCGTCTTCATACTTTTTGAGATCAAAGGCGGCATCGTGGAGTGTCCGTGTTGATTGTTAGGTATGCTGTGGCTAAGAGCTGTTGTGCACCTCTGCACGAGGTTCGATCAAAAAATATGTGACCATCATCTGACTTCATCATTGCTACGAGGACCTCCCAATAAGATTATACAAATTTAGGTCAAAAACTTATGCTAATATATTTTAAAGGTTTTTCAGAATGATGAGTTTTTGTTTTTTTTTTTTAACATTTGTTTTCAAATTTCTATTGACAAATTTC